TCTCTCCCTCCTGGCTTATTTTCCTGAAATTCTGTGGTAAGGCCACTGCCCTCAAAGCCATCCAATATCAATCTTACAGGCTGACCAAAAGGGACCAGCAACCACCCTCTGGCTTTCTCCCAGGCAGAGGACTCCATCCAGCATTAACAAAAGAGGGAGAAAGAGGAAGGAGGAAGGGAAGGGAAAGAGGAAAGAAATGGATAAGCAGAGAAACGAACATGCTGCTGGATGAATTCGCTATTATTCATAATATTGGTAACATTCACTATGATTTATCAGAGACTGTCGTAAATGGGTATATATCAAGGACTTTCATGGGTCACCACCTGCTAAATTAAAACATTCCATGAGGATTGCCTGCTACCTATAACTCTGACACTGGTTTTTCAGATGGTTAGAGGATTAGAAACATCCCTGTGGTTCTCAGGAGCCCCCGTGACCTGGATCCTTTTCACAAACTCTCTATCTACCATTTTTCTGGAACTAGCTGGCAAATGACCTTCTGAGTCTCAGCCTAAATGTCACTGCTGTTGTCTGAATGAGTGCCTCCAAAATTCATTTTGAAATCCGATCCTCACTGTGATGGTGTTAAGAGGTGATTCAGTCTTCAAGACTCTGCCCTGAGGAGTGGGATTCATTCCATTGGAAAGGAGATGGAGAGGACACCTTTCCCCTCTCTCACGTGAAAACAGGGATTCATCTTGGAGCAGGGACCAGGTTCCCACCAGATACCCAATATGCTCATGCTTTGACCTTAGACCTCCTGCCCCCAAACCTGTGAGCAATAAATGCTTATTACCTGTAAATTAACCAGTCTTCAGTATTTTGTTACAGCAGCCTGAGCAGACTGACCATTACCTGGTTTAAGCAATGATTTCCCATCATGTTCCTTACACTTAAAAACCAGCTTTAGATTCCTGTGGGTCCTAAATCCTATTTTACTTCCCTCTCAATTCCCAAGGGCAATGCGCTTAATCATGTTGGAATCATTGACACTGTTATGAGAAGAATTTTTTATTTGCACTTTGTTTTGCGATAACTGTAAATTTATATAAAGTTTTCAATAAAAATACCACAGATATCTTTTATTCAATTTATCTTAATCATAGTGTTTTAGTCAGCCTTTTTTGCTGCTGTGACAAAAAGACCCCACTAGAACAATGGTAGAGGAAGAAATGTTTATTTAAAGGTTGATGGTTTTAGACATCTCAATCCATAGGTGGCTGCCTCCATTCCTTGGGGCTCAAGGTGAGGCTCTACATCATGACAGAAGAGTGTGGCAGGGGAAAGCAGCTCACATGAGGATCAGGAAGCAGAGGAGCACTCTCTTCTTGGCAGACACAGAGATACACCCCAAAGCCACACCCCCAGTGCCCACCACTAAACAGTATGTGGATGTGGAGGTGCTCAAACAAACAGCGGATGATGGGAGGCGCCAAGCACCACAAGAACCAGCAGAAAAGCTCCCAGTGGCCATGGCTGGGTTAACCGGGGCCAACAAGTCAATGAGACAACAGGGAATCCTAACCAAAATCAAACTTCCATTCTGATAAAATAGATAGATAGATAGATAGATAGATAGTAGATAGATACATAGATAGACAGAGGAAATAAATAAGCCACTTAGGGAGAAAAGACAACTTTGCCATGCAGAAGAGCTCCAAATAACTCATGAGTATACTCTGGCCTCCAGAAGGTGGCGCTGCTCACCACTCCTTACTGAGGGCTGGCTGTGACCTTCCCCATAGGAAGGGGAAAGAGTGACTGTGGTGGGGGACACTGGCACACTCTCCAGCTGGCAACGGAGGACAGCAACAGCCGTGGAGCCTTGTGGACAGCACCTCTGATAAACGACAGGAATGGCACCTCCCCTCCGCGGCCTTTCTCCCCAAACAGAACCCCAGTTAACCAGGAGAGAGTGTCAGGTGGAGGCCAGGAGAGCCCTGCTGCTCCCTCCCAGGGGCTCCGGCTCAAGGCTGCTTCCTTTGCTTTACTGCTCCCTCCTGAGAGACGCACCAGGAAAACTCAGAGCACTGTGAAAAGTTAAAGAGGACACAGATACATGGAAGCACACGGCCACGTTTACAGACAGGAAGATCGGATGAGGAAAAAAGTCAATACGACCCTGTCCACACCTCTCAAAATCAAACTCCAAACGACAGTTGTTTTGACCTCGAACTAACTTTAGGATTTTCTACATGGGTCCCTGGACTACTTTGAAGAATTTGTTTCATCTTTTTATAAAATATATATATTAGCCTGGTGCAGTCGCAATCCCAGAGACTCCAGAGGCTGAGGCAGGAGGATTGCAAGTTCAAAGCCAGCCTCAGCAACTGAGCAAGGCCCTAAGCAATTTACCAAGACCCTGCCTCAAAATAAAAAATGAAACGGGGCTAAGGATGTGGCTCGGTGGTTGAGCACTTATGGATTCAATCCTTGGTACTGAGAAAGAGAGTGAGAGAGAGACTAGACAGACAGAGAAAGAAAGAGAGATTAAACTAATTGGACTTACCTGATGGGTCAGACTGTATGGGAAACAGTGAAGAAGAGATGATGTGGCCTCTGGGCTATATTTGCATGGATACATATTTACTAATAAGTGTTCTGAAAACTGCATGGAATGTCTAGAAATCTGATAAACGTCTGCTTTTGATGTTACTAGTCATATTTATTATCCTCAATGTTTTAAAGCATAAAACAACCACATTTCCTTGTCAACTTCATTATAACTAACTGTGATCTGTTATTTAGTCCTGGCCATTTTAAGACTTTTTCATCCACAAAAGTTGTTTTACTCTGATGCGTTCTTGAAAGATTTCTCAAAGTCTTGCCTTCAAGGAAATTTGTGGAAACTTGTACTGAATCTTGATGATTTGAGATTAAGATCATAAGTCTCTAGGGGCTTTCCACTGAAATGATCTCAAAAGGTTATTGTTCCACTTTTACCAGCAAATATTTCCTTTGCTTTATTACCCCATTCACCCTGTAAATGGTTTCCCCTGTTCCCCTTGGTGCAGCCCAGAAACACTTGTGGTCCATGAATTGCTGTCTGTGTGAATAAAATTTAAAATTTTAAGGACCTAAGTTGATATTCTGGCATTCCATTTATTCCAGTTCTTAACTTCTTTCATTAAAGTTTTGATTTTTCTGCATATAGCTCCTGGACATCTTTTGCAGAGTTATCCCTAAGAATTCAATGATGTTTACTGTTGTGATACTGTGCATTTTATATCAATTTTTCTCAAAGTATATAGAAAACTATATTTTTTAAAAAATGATTTTTTAATTGTAGCTGGACACAATACCTCTATTTTATTTTGTTTTTTAATGTGGTGCCAAGGATAGAAGCCAGTACCTCACGCATGCTAGGTAAGCGCTCTACCACTGAGCCATAACCCCAGCCCCAGGAAACTATCTTTTTAATTTTAACCTTGTATCTTACGATTTTGTTATACATGATTATTATTTCCAGGGTTTTTGTTTGTTTGCTATTGTTGATTCTTGGGAATTTTTTACATAGATCATCATGACATAAATGAACATAGACACTTTCATTTCTTCCAAGTGTGTGTGCCTTTGATTTCCTTTTCGTGTTTTGCTGCACTCACTGTAACTTCCAGTTGAGGATTGATACCTAGATGGTGCTGAGCGATATTGGTGTCTTAGGGGGAGTGAAATTTTAAAACTGTTCTCCCAACCCCTCTCTAAAATGGTAGTAGATAAAGAACATCCTTCTGATATCCAATAAGCATTAAACCAGAAAGTTCTGTTACCCCAGGCACTGTGCCAGCAGGTGCACATGCAGAAAGGAATCTCAGCCCCCTGCACGGCCCCACCACTGGCCCCATAGTGCCTGACTCCAGGCTGTTGGTGAAGCTTTTTGGTGCTTCCAGAAGTCTGCTGTGGGACAGGGCCTGACAGCCCCCACCTGCTGCACACTTCAAAGTGAGAATCACTGTCACTCAGGGTTGCTTTCAGGGGGACAAGCAGAACTGGGCGTAGGCTGGGCACTTCTGCAGATGAGGGACTGTCTGTGCTCTGGGTCCCCGTGGGCCGTGCTTGTGCCCACAGTCTGGGGCTCTTTTCTGCCAGCCCCAACCCTCCCACCAGTGGCACCTTGCACCATGACCTGAGGCTGCCCTGCCCAGTCTGGCTCCTTCCCTTTCTCTTTCACCAGCCTTTCCCCAAAGGGGTTTTCCTGTGTTGCTCGTGTGCTATCTACTTCAGGAGGACCATATGGGCCCGTTGGGGACCCCTGATTGTCCGCCATGCTATTATGTAAGGGATACTGGTTCTCAGTGGTTGCTCTGTAGGACACACAGATGCTGAATTTTGCTTAAGCTGTGAGCCAAGTGCTGTCTAACCTGTGCTCCAACACAAAAGTTGGATATGCTCACTTTCTCCAGAAGTTTCCTTAAGTTTTCTTAAAGTAATCATCTAGTGTTTTGTCTAAGGGGCAGATAGATGGCAGAAGCCCTGTTTGGTCTGTAGATGGAGGTGGGGATTAAACACAAGTGTCCATGTTCTCCAGAAAGATTCAGAGTAAAACTGCAGGGTATTTGGTGCCATTGGTAGAAATAAACCAACTCAACAAATCCTCCATTTTGACCTCTCTTCTTACTCTAGTTCTTTTCCCCGTGAACCCCAAGTTGGTCTGATGTTCTGCAGTCAGACACCAGGCCCTCTGAGGATCCCCATAAAGCTTACTGTCCTCCCACCTGCCCCTCCTCATGCAGAGCTGTGCAGAGACCCCCTTGTGCGTTCACACCTCTCGCATGCCATGCCCGCCCTCTTTCTGACCTGCTACCATCATGTCTTCTTGTTTATTTGAGAGAGGTCCAGGGAGGGAAGGACATGCACCCCAGCTGCCTTTCTGAAATTTACCTGGAGCAATTTAATGCTAGTTTAAGTGCAGAACTGAAAGTCCCTTCACCAGCATCACGAGGCGCAGTGGCTGAAGTGACCTTAGAGGTCATCTCCTGCTTCAGGTGGAGAAGCAAATGGAGCGCTCGGCTTTCCGTACCACAGTCACCGCTTCCTCCAGCACAGCTTCGCTCTCCACTGTGTCTTGGAGAGGAAACGCTGCCTTTGGACAAGCGTGGGTAACCAGGAGCACGTCACCCATAATCAGAGCTGTCCCTGTGCCCGGGTGGCTCACTCTGCTTGTTCTGCTTCTCTCCAGCAGCTGCAGACTGGAGGACCTTGTGCTGCTCTTGGCCATTTCTCTCTTCCCTGACCAAGACCGTCCAGGTGAAGAGCCTCTGGGCTAGAATCACACAGCTGCAGAGGACGGGAGGTGGGGACCTTGCTGCAAACAGATTCTGAGGGACTCGCAACCTTCCTCAATCACAGTAGCCTCCTCTGCCTTCGCTGAACCCACAGTAGAGGACTGTAAATGGCACCTTCACCTACCCCTGGCAGCCATGCTCACCCGCTCAAGGAGAGAAACACAACAGAAAGGTGGGGATCAGGACTCAGATGTGATGGACAGTCCCTAGCCTCCACCGTGGGCATTCCCCTGGGACTCCTGGGTGAGGGCATCACTAACCGTATTTACTAGGGCTCCTGAAATTATTCAGTGTTGATTTTGTGAGAGGAGATGCCTTCTTCCACCGGCCTCCTGAACAGCTTTGCTCATCATCACAGAAAGAAGACTTTCTCATCCTCCTAAATTAGACAACCTTTCCTACCAGGTCAGAATGTTAGGATTAAGACGAATGCCATACTTTCAGTAGGTTTAAAAAACAATTAATTTACTATAACTCAACAAGTTCAGCAGCCCTGGGGCCAAACCAACAGTGCTCACTCCTGGAACCCACTGACCCTCTCTGCCACGCTGCCCAGCTGAGTTCCCAGTCTCAGGAGGGTCCACAGCCTGCCCTCCCCGCTTTCTAATGCTGACCTTCTTCCTGGTCATTTCCAACAGATGCTTGTATAAAATCTGCTATCACCATATTCTATGTCTGGTCAAAATATGAAAATAATGTATTTATCCAGAGGAAGAAGGAGGGGGAGGAGGAGGAGGAGGGAGAGGAGGAGAAGAAAGAAAAGAAGAGGAGGAGGAGGAAGAAGAAGAGGAAGGAGGAGGAGGAAGAGAAGAGGAAGAGGAGAAAGAAGAAGGAGGAGGAAGAAGAGGAAGGAGGAGGAGGAAGAGGAGGAGGAATCAGTTTCCCTTCAATCTGTCACAAGATCTGGATCTGGTCTTGTCACAAGGCCAAGACCCCATCCAGGGAGAAAGCGCAGCTCAGGGACACCTCCAGGACCACAGCTGCACCTGCCGAGCTGGTGGCCATGCCTGTCCACTCTCAGGGCACATCCAGGGGAAGCTGACAGGGGGGAGAGAGGCAGATGCAGTTAGGTGACAGTGGACTGCAGGGTGTGTCCACTGCCCCTAACCTCCTGCTCTTGCTGTGAGTGACTTTGACTTCCACACACCTTCAGCCTCTTCCATTCCCACATAGTTGGGGGTGAGTGCCCAGGAGGGCAGCTGGTTACAGAAGAAAGAGACCAGGTGTGCTCTGGTTTACCAGGTGTGATCTGGCTCCCCTGGTGTGACCTGGTTTACCAGGTGTGATCTGGCTCACCTGATGTGATCTAGTTTACCAGGTGTGACCTGGTTTACCAGGTATGTTCTGGCTTCCCTGGTGTGACCTGGTTTACCAGGTGTGACCTGGCTCACCTGATGTGACCTGGTTTACCAGGTGTGATCTGGCTTGCCTGGTGTGCTCTAGTTTACCAGGTGTGACCTGGTTTACCAGGTATGTTCTGGCTCCCCTGGTGTGACCTGGTTTACCAGGTGTGACCTGGCTTGCCTTGGTGTGCTCTAGCTTACCAGGTGTGACCTGGTTTACCAGGCGTGATCTCGATTGCCTGGTGTGATCTGGCTTACTTGGAGTACATTTGTCACTAGGATTCATTCACTGCCTGGTAGGTAGCTCCTGTTCTTGCTTTTGCATTCTGTCACCTCAGACTGGGTTTTTGTTGCAGCTTGAACACTGATGTTGCTGTGTAATCTCAAGTTGGGGGCTTTCCTTCTCTGGGCCCTAATTCCCATGGCCTGTGCAGGCTTGCTCAGCACTGAAGGTCTGGCAGTCTGCAGCCTGCTCTCTCTTTCTGGTCCACACTGCTGCTGCCCCCCTCCCCAGCTGGCACAGCTGCCTCCCTCCCCTCACCCCAGGAGTGCAGTGGCTGGCTCTGAGGCAGAACTGGGAGACAGCCTTCATGCAGTCGCTCAGCACAGCACTGTGCCAGTTCCCTTGTGCCCCTGTCTTGCCCTCTATTCTGCCACTGGCTGCTGTTGAGGGCCAGTCACAGCCACGGTGAAGTAGGCTCCTGTCCACCAACTGTGGGGACAGCCAACCTGGGGCCTCGTCAAGATCAGACAGCACAGGATTCCGCTGAATTGCTTCTTGGTTCCTACTGCACCCTGACCTGAGAACCCTGACACCAAAGCATTAGAAATAAGAGGGTTTTCTTCACCAGGACAAAGACAAACACAAAACCTGCCCCAGTCAGGCAGCCTCTGGGTGTTCCTGCCCCTTCTGCTTGTGAAAATGGAGAGGTGGGAAGGAGAGCAAGGACTCAGAGCAAACAGAGGTCCTTAGGGTCAGACCTCTGCCCTGACTGTGTCCCCAGGCCCTTGGCTCCCGAGCACAAGGGCTCTTCCTCACCAGACCTGGTTCCTGCAGGGTGCAGGGAGGGGCCTTTCTGGAGAAACCCCAGCCGCCCTCTGCAGAGGCCCTTTTTCTTCACTCTGTAGTCCGTCCTCACCCACTAGTCCTGCTTCGGGTCTAGCCTGGTACTGCTCTAGGGTGATACCAGTTAGGTACAGGAGGAAACTGGGTTCAAAATTGCTTTCCAAATGGCACACCTGAGACCAGGTAACAAAACCCACCCTCCTGCACAGCTCTGGGAGGAGGGCCAAGGACCAGGATGTCCTCTGTCTCCTCTCCTTTACTCACACCTATCCCAGCCCATCCATTCACTCACCAGGGACTTCATGGGTTCGGGATGGGGTGGGCAGTGGCAAGCCCCCATACACATGGTCCCTATGCTCAGAGACCTTGCAGTTCAATTGAGAAGAATGAAAAAAGAAAAAAAAAGTGTGTGACTCCAATTTGACAGGGATGGTGTTAAAGAATACAGGGAAGCCAGGCATCATGGCCCACACCTGTAACCCCAGCAACTGGGGAGACCAAGGCAGGAGGATCACAAATCCAAAGCCAGCCTGAGCAACTTAGCAAGGCCCTAAGCAACTCTGCAAGATCCTATCTCCAAATAAAATAGAAACAAAGGTTGGGAATGTGGCTCAGTGGGTAAGCACCTCTGGGGTTAGTGCCCAGTAGCAAAAAGGGAAAAAGCAGTTGGGGAGAAAACTAGACTGGGGCATGGCCTATATCAGGAGGTCATGGGAAGTGCCCCACACTGGGATCTTTAGGTTCAGAGATGAAGCTCAGAGAGGTCACTCATGGGAAGGGAAAAAGCAGCCCCAGTGAAGGGGGGGACAGCCCCAGAGGAGGCACCCAGAGAGCGAAGAGGTGGTGCACAGGTCAGGAGGGAGCCTTGCAGCAGGTCTGCAGAGGCGAGGCCACAGCAGAGCAGCATGGCTGGGGAGATGCGGCCCAGGACCAGATCAAGGAGACTCTGTGGAGCTGGTGAGGGGCTCCATTACCTTTGGTCAAACTGTGATGGTCAGCGGAGCTGCCAAGGGATTGTAAGAAGGGGCGGGACATGGACTGGTCTGTTTCTTAGAAAAGAAATCATGCTGGATGGGAGCAGATGTTCATCTACTAGGACAGTGGATCAGGGTAGGAGTGTTGGGGAGACCAGCCTGTGTCCACTCGGTGCCCCTCCCTAGCAGTCTGTGCAATTCCTTGAAACCCTTTCCCCAGACCCCACTGCAAGTCTGGCCTTTCCCTCCTCGAGCTCAATAACCACAGTGTCTTCTCCTGATGTCCAGTGAGAAGTCACCTCGAGACAGACAGAATATGTGGCTATGGGACTGCTCGCTGCCGATGGAAATGTAAGGCACAGGAACACAAGATTGGAAAGTGCCCCAACACCTACGTTTGCTGTTTGAAAACATGGAAACAAGAGTCGACTCCTCACCGAACACCAAGTTCTGAACCCAGTGCTGCTACCCACAAGAGTTGCCAGCAACAGAACCCCTGAGTCTTCCCTTCCTCAGCCCTGAAGCAAGGAGGTCCCCAGAAAGACCACGGACTCAGCCATCAAAGGAGGTTGCTGAGCTGCAGCCCAGGTCACAGCAGGGGGGCAGGATGACAGGTTGGAAGCCCTCTGAGCCCCAGGGGCCCTTCTGGTTGCAGTGAGGGGCTGTGGCAATGCAGGCTAACCATGAGTTTTGGCACTTTAAACGCTGGACAAAATATATACACATGTTGTTATGTCATCGGCCTTAAGCCTAAATAAAAAATACTGTTCTTCTATTGCAATCAGAAAAGAAGTTATCTATCTATTGTTAATTAGGATAAAACCCAAATAAATATTAATTGAATCTTGTTTGGAATGTACTTTATTTCAAAATGCAGACCTCTGGGAACAAAACCAAAAGAGACGAAATGGGATGGGCAGCCTGAGGGACCCCTGGTGAGCGGAGGGGCTGACCAGGTGGGCACCTGTGGGGTTCCACGTCCAGCAGAGGGCAGCAGAGAGCGCTGGGCTGCTTTCTGCTCCTGATCCTGAAAACTGGTGAAGAAAGCGGGTAGTGAAGCATGTGAGCACATTTTTCCTGTCCAAACTGTATTTCAGGGTAACAGATGGCATAGGAGGAAACGTTTTGCTCTACAAAGTCATTCAGCTAAGAAATAGGGTGCCACCATGCCAAACCATGGACACATGATGATCCTTCAGTGAATGTCAACCACCAGTAAAATAAGGAAGAAAGAAAGTGTGATGGCCCATGTCTCCTCACTGATGTGCACAGTGTCACGTGTGAGCCACCAGGCAAGGAACGTGGCATGGGCCTCACGTTTTAGGTGCAGAAACCAAGGCCAGATTGGGTCCCTTGTGCCCGAAACAGTACAGAGAAGCTTCACACAGCCTTTGTCCAGCTTCAGCAGGTGGTCAGCAGGTTTCGTTCCTTGGTCGTCTCCCCTCTCCTAGATCACTTCAAAGAAGGACACAGTATTTCCTGGTTGTCCATCTAAACATATTTTGGAACTTAGAATCAGAGAAAAGACTCTTTAGAAAATAGAACACTGTTCTACTTATTACCAACAAAGGGGAAAAAAAGTCAATACAATTTCTTTAATAAAATCTGATAACTGATCAGTTTTCCTGGTTGTTTCACAAATGTCTCTTAAGAGCTGGTTTCTTAGAAGATTCTGCAAGGTTCGCACACTATACAGTGGTCTCCAAGGCCTCCCGCATGGTGGAGTTGTCTGTGGCTAGTCCCCCTGAAACACACTGTGCAAGACCAACTGCACATTGGGATGAACCTCTGCACCTCACCTCTGTGGTGCCAGGGGCACAGGAACCTGTTCATACCCAGAGAAGCCACACTCCAAAGTGGGAAGCAGAGTACGCTCCAGGACGGTGTAGCTTGTATTGGGTTGCCCCTCATGCTGTGTGGGGTCCCTTCCTTATTCTCGTACTTCCTGTTTTACCCAGTGCTTTTCACATCCATGATCTCTTCTAATCCTCACAATAAGCTTTTGAAAGAGACACGGCAAACAGCATCTTCTTCACCCTGCACGTGCGGAAACTAAGGCTTTCCTCAAGTTCCCCAGACTATTGGGAAAGATCCGACCCAGACCCTGCACCTCCAGTGCAAACCAGACGCAGCACAGCATGGGGTGTTCACAGGTCAGAAGCCCAGGGCCCCTGCCTCTTGCTGTCACCTTGAGGAGGTTGCTTAACTGGCCTGGGCCATGATGTCCACATCCACAGTCCGGCCTTCCTACTACACGGCAGACTCAAGCACAGACCCAGCGTCTGGCCCCGTGTTACGATTACGCTTTGCCTCCTTTCTTGACTTCAGTGTGATGCTTTCTAGAGAGAGGCCACCTCATCCTTCTCAGCATAACAGGACAGCAAAGCCAGGGACTTCTACAGACTTGAATCAGTGCCACCAGTAACAGTGGGGGGGGGGGTGACCCCAGGCAAAAAGAAAAACTGACTCATCACCAGGTAGGCAGCATGAGCCTGTACCCTGAAGAGCCCAGGCGTTGCTCCCTGCCCCTTGTCCTCCCCCTCACTCTCTAAAGGGGCTAAACCCTGAAACGCAACCTGTTGGACCAACCCTGTGCATGGCAGTGAACAAACTCAACCTCAGCACCAAGGGAACACCAAGTCACACCACTGGACTCTCTGCTGTGACTGTGCAAGAACAAAGGCACGTCACCCTATTTCTTTGTTTCCAGAACAAAATTACCCTGGATAAGAATCACAGATGAGGGAGGCAAATATTCCCACGCGCTCATTTCCCTGGGCCCATGAGCTGTCTAGGACAGAGCAGGGAGGCCCCTGGTCTGGTCAGCACAGTAGGCTCAAAGCGGGAGTGGACAGGGCGGAGCTGCCTCAGGACTGAGTCCAAGAGAAAAAACTCATCCCCCGAGGACTGACAAGGGGCCAAAACACTTTTCAGTGCAGAGAATTTGGGCAAAAAGAATAAAAGCAGCAGGCCGAGAGAAAAGGTACCACTCCTACAAAAACTTACGTTTGTTCCTGTGACCACCAAGAATTGCTACTGTTCTGTTTTCAGTTGTCACCAAGTGGTGTATATTTAGGTGGCACCAGTGATAACGGATGCACGAGTACAGTGTGTATCCTACAATCAGGGTGTTAGCAGGGCCATCTCCTGCAACGTCTATCCTCTCTTTGTGTTGGGAGCCTGACACTCCTCTTGTCTATTTCTCGATAAAATATGTATGAATTCTTGTAAAGCATAGTCTCCCTACAGCATGTGGCACCTAGGACTGGTTTCTCCTCTCCAGCTGTGTGTTCGCAGCCCTTATGCAACCTCTCTGTTCCCTGGCTCCCTCCCTCTATTCTCCATCGGCTTCTTCCACTCTCTACTTCTGTGAGATCCTACTCTTTTCCAAATGAACTTGGTTCCTCTCCCTTCGGCCCTGAGCATCCCTTTATTTCCTTGGAATCCACTCCATCATGGTGGCAAGAGAAACTCAGGCTCAATTGCAAAACTGTTTCTTATTAGAATCGAATTGGACCCAAAAGCATCACCAGGAGATGCCCAAAGAAAGGCGGGAATAAAAGGGGAAGGAACATGAGGAAGACTCAGTTAAACTAAAACAAAAGGGGGGAGGAGAAGGGAAGGGAAGGGGAGAGGACAAGGAAACAGAGAGCCCCGGGGAGGAGGAAGACCAGGCAGCAGAGTTTCTACCATTTTGGAACAGCTCTAGAACCCAAGTCCAAGTGACAGCTCCCACAGCCAGGTCACACCTGACATGCTTCATGTCCTCACACAGGATTCTCCACACTAAGGCAAGCAGGTGCCACAGACGCACAGAAGCAACATGGCGGCCTTGATGTTTCATTGTTTTAAAGAACTTCAGGGGCTGCAGAGCTAGTGGGAGACGCTGTAGGAATAACAGCGTGTTTATTCCGCCTTTCCATGCCTTTCATCTCCTCCCACCTCTGTCCTTCTGTTCTAATTCACCAAACCCACCCAAGGTGAGGGGAGAACACAGGACTCAGTGTTTGTTCTGCAAACAGTGGGAATATGATGTGTCCTCTGTGCCCTTTGTGACTGAGGACTCGGGAACACAGCTCTCCATGCTCCCAGCCCACTCACCCGGCCGGCTCTATAAAGGTACCCACCCGCCTGCCCACTCTGGGGCCCTCAGCTCGCAGTCCCCATGGCAGACATGGCTCAGCGACTCCACCCTCCCTTCATCAGCCTTCTCCTTGTGGCCCTGCTGTTCCCAGGTAAAAGAGAAAGATTTCCTGGGAGCCAGGGTCTCCCGCAAAAGTCTTTGCTGAGGCCTGGAAGTCCAGGCTGGCCAGTGAGACCCTAAGTCCCAGGAGCACGTTTTCCTGATGGGACTTTCGGGCAGAAGTCCCTGAGAGGGGTTCTCAGACACTTTGTGCTGATGGCACTGATTTCCCAAGCAAGAAGGTCCTTCCTTTCACTTTGTTTTCTTATTTCTGGAACATTCCTCACCCCTTATGGAGGAAGACATTAAGTCTTAGGGAATCCTGGCAACTGCACTGGAGACGTCTCTGCACAAATAGCTTTTCACCACCATTCTTCTCTTCTCCCCCTCAACACACACTCATGCACATGTACACAAGTGTGCACACGCTCGGGTAGCACCGGAAACTCTTCCACCTTACCCCATCCCATTGCCCACCGTCCCTGCCCCTTACAGGGGCTCTGTCCCCGTGGGTTGCCGAATGGAGAGCACTGAACCCCCTGCATCTGCATTCTCACAGGCTCGCCCAGAGCCCTCTCTGTGAACTCCTCAGGCACTGAGGTCCCCAGCGGCCCCCAGGAAGAAGCTCCTGGGCAAGGAGCAAACGGGTCTCCTGCGGTGCATCACCAAGTAAAGCGCTACTTCCAACCGCGAACTCCCCCTTTTCTTGGTGAGTCAGGTGCCCACGTGCATGACAAGTTCACCACTTGGGACATCTCATTCAGCTGAATGAATGAGAGGGGAAGGTGACTGTGGACGGGTCTGGGTGGACGTAGGTGTTGTGTGTGTGGTTCTGTCCTCCTACCTATCAGGAGGGCCATGCGCGGTGTGTGTGGGGGAAGAGGATTCACACATTTGAGGCACTGCGGATTGAATCCAAGGGCACTCTGCCCCTGAGCTCATCCACAACCCTCCTTTCTTATTTTTTTGAGACAGAGTCTGGCTGAGTGCCATGCCTGTCTTCAAACTTGCAACCCTCCTGCCTTGGCCTCTGAGGCTGCAGGGATTATAGGCAGGCACCACCCTGCACTGTGGGCTGTGGAGGTCTTACAGCCTCCTCTGGGGCGATCACTGAGGGCCTCATGAAATATGGACATACTGTGGGACCAGGAGGTGAATTCTCTAAGGCTCTTCTGTAGAGTCTGAGTAGCCAGAGGAGACACTATGACTGATCACTCTCCTCCTGCCAGGAGACTTCACAGGTCTCTCGCTGCACGGGAATTTACTGGACACCTCTAAGTGCCAGGTGTGAAGTGAGTTCAGGGACTGATTCCTGGGGATGGGGACACAGCACACACTGTATGCCACTCCTTGAGTGAGGAGGAAACAGGAAGTGGTGTGGAACCACAGCCCAGGCCACCCTTTTGGACTCTCAGGACAGCCC